AGCGCCGGCCCCGGCATTTCCCGACCCGCCGAAACTGCATGGTGGACGACATTTGTTAGCCTTGGGTCCAAACTTGGCATGATAAAAACACAAGGCTGGAGACTGTTGGGGGCCAGAAGATTGTCGCCGACGAGAAGTGGCTGCAGAGATGAGTGTGGAGCCGTCCAGCGTCGAAGGAGCGATGTGTGCGGGCAAAAGCGCGGCCACACAATGTTCCTGACTTGCCAGGAAGAATTTGTCAGCCTCCTCAGCCAGCCTCCGACAGTCAGTGATTGTGGTGTTGGCTAGTGCAGCCCTGACTTGAGAAGGCAGCTGACGTAGAAAAAGTTGGATGAAAAGAAAATCGGGTCTGTGTTCACCCAAGAGATCCAGCATACGGTCCATGAGCTCAGATGGTTTGCTGTCACCCAGTCCTTGAAGGGAGAAAAGCCTGCTGGCTCTCTCAGCGTCTGACAGTTCAAAAGTTTTCAGCAGGTGGGCTTTGAGCGCTGCATACTTCTCAGTTGCCGGAGGGTTTTTAGGAAGACTGACCACTCTGGATGCCGTTGAATTTCCGAGAGCCGACACAACGTAGTAGTACTTTATTTCATCCGCGGTGATCGGTCATGGCGTTCGCGGTCATGGTCATGGAGTGTCTCTGGATACGTCCAGCAGACTAACGTCGGGGTCACCAGTGTGGAAATTGCAGTAAAGTCCAAGAGACAATTTCTCACGTTGAGCACACCAAAGCGTGTGTCGTTTATTTTTCAAGGAAAAAACCACTAAAAACAAAATGGCGCTGCCCAGCCAAACCAACCGGCGTCGGGCTACACGTCATCACGCCTTCATAACATTTAAAGGGACCGCGATCCCTGAACAGTAATACTTACAAGCAGTAACTACAGACAGAACCAAGTGCTTTGTTTACTATGAACGGTATGTAGAACCACACTTAATAAGAAAGGTGAATTATGTCGGTTACATTCACTACATATATATATATATATATCAGACATGTTCACAAGTCATTTTTTGCAAGTCCAAGTCAAGTCTCAAGTCTTGAGAGCTCAAGTCCAAGTCAAGTCTCAAGTCATGAGAAGGCCTGTCGCAATAATCAATTAATCGCACAAAAAATTCTAATCACTTGATTCATTTAAAAAAGTGCAATAATTTTCGTGCTTGCTTGTTTTTCATCTCCGTCACTGAGACGGTATAGCTTAAAGGTCGCTATTATATCTATGGAATTATCATTATCTTGAACTGCTAAATGAAAAATACAATTAAAAAAAGCACACGCAAAAATTTTTTTCAGATAAATTTTGCATTTTCTTACAGTATTTACCTGACATTTGTGGTTACAACTTTTTCTAGTTTTAGCAGTAAATGTCTGCTCTTTTATTGAAAATGAGGACTGTGGAAAAAAAACAATCACAATCCTGCCGTCCACGTACTGTTGCGTCAGTGACGTCAGTGTGTTGCACAGGGAAAAATATGGTTTATGGTTTTCTTTCATTTAAGTGTTAGTTTTATGCTTTGCATGTTTGGAGAGGAAGATATGATTTGTTTTTCTTTGTATTTTCTTCTTGAGCTTTGCATGTTTTGATGTTTCTTTTTTATATGATTGTTTTCCTTTATTTTAGACTTTTGAATTTTTCCTGCATGTTGGGTTAGGTTTGGTTTGTTTTTCCCTTGTGACAATCCATGCGCACTGGACTGAAGTAGTTGTCTGAGGAGGCGGAGTGCATTAATTGCGCTGCGTAATGCTGCGCTCAGGTGTGAGCAAGGGCTGATTAAAGCCGACATAAAAGGAGTCTAAAGGAAAGGAGAAAGAGAACGGAATCTGCAGGTGACAGGCATATATCTTCCGACGGGGTTTTGGCGCGTGGATGCTGGATGCGCGTGGATGCTGGCGTTCTCCTTGCTTCTCTTTTTAGCTGGATCGGTCTGGAAAGGGGTTTGGCACGCCAGGGAGTGGAACAGTGCTGGAGCACCGCAGAGTCAGCTGTGGATCAGCCAGTGGGTGCTCCAGGTCGATCACTCGCACCAGAAGCAGCACAACAAGCGGAGCCCAACTTCCAGCCTGTGATTTTTAAGGAAAACTCTTGAATTTTAGGTTTTATCAGGAGAAGAAAAGGACTGTTTTATTATGCCACTTTTGCTGTGGCTTTTTGTATAAATAAAACACTTGAACTTGAGTGCTTCACGGTTTGGGTCTTTGAGTTTTTTTTTTGTTTTTTTTTGTTTTTTACCTCTTCTGTGTGCGGGTAAGGCGAGCGGCGATCAGTCAAGTTAGTAAAACAAAAAACACTTGAATAAGTGTTTTTACACTGGAATAAAATATTGTTCACAAGTCGGAAATCACGAGTCTCAGTCGAGTCTGAAGTCCTTTAAATGCAAGTCTAAGTCGAGTCTGAAGTCATTAAATATGCGACTTAAGTGCGACTCCAGTACGAGTCACAAACTCGAGTCCCCATCCCTGATATATATATATATATATATATATATATATATATATATATATATATATATATATATATATATATATATATATATATATATATATATATATATATATATATATATAGCATGGGAGTCGACCCCTGCCTGGTGGCATGTGTTAGGAATCCAGTGTGTGTGGGTTGTTTGTGTGTTCCTTCTCTCTCCACCACCAGGTGGTGCCCTGTCCTCGTTTGTCCTCCCTGCACACCTGTGGCTCCTCGGCGCCAGAGTGTCTTTGCTCTTCGGCAGGAAGACTTCCTGTGTAACTGGATACCTGCACCTTCTCCCCCCCGGAAGGATTTACTGAGTACACACTGAGCAGGGGAAACCCCATTCCAGCATAATTCAAGCTGCAGTCTCATTTCCCACGGTCCCTTAACTGATCTCTGTGATCTCTCCTTCAGACTTTCCAGTTCTGGTTCACCAGTTCTCTGAGTTCCAGATTCAACCTCCGTTCACTTTACCTCAAATAAACCTTTTAAACTTTTCTCTTTGGTCTCTAAGTGGTTTCTCTGCATGTGGGTCAGATTCCTTTAACCGATCATGACAGCATGGATCTCCAGCTACCTCACAGACAGGCCACAGTATGTCAGGCTGAAAGACACCATCTCTGAAACAGTGGTCAGAATCACTGAAGCGCCCCAGGGCACAGTGCTGGCCCCTGTCCTTTTCACCTTATACACCTCGGACTTCAACAGAGAGGAGGAGTACAGGAGTCTGATGGGGGCTTTGCCACCTGGTGCTGCACCAACTACCTGGAGCTCAACATCGCCAAAATGAAGAAGCCAGTCATAGACTTTTGGAGGAATGGACCAAAAACTATAGGCTAGTACTATTGGAGGGGTGGCCAGTACTGAAGGTACTGCTGGTACTGCCGGTACTGCTGGCTGAGGTTGTGCTTTAGCACAGCTGATCCTGATGACCGCAGTTCAGCAAAAGTCTGTTAATCAACTATCAATGTAAATCAGCTGTGCTGGAGCGGGAAACCTCTTAAACCTGCAGGACAGCGGCCTTCGAGGACCGATTTTGGGGATGCCTGGTTTAAAATCTCCACTAGAGTTTCACAACAAACTAATAATTGGCTACTCCTGATAGAAGGAGCAGCAAATAAAACTTAAAATGATTGTGTTGCCTGCATGGAACCTAGACCAATACTTAGAATTGTTTTAGCTCCATTATTGAACAATTGCACTGTTAATTTAATGAACAATTCATCCCTAACAGGACCGTGAGATGAATGCTGTCTAGCCTCTTACAAAGGCAGATCCACAGAAACCTCTATTTTCTAGTAAGGTGGCACCGAATAATTGTACTTGTATAGAGCTGAATGGATGTGTTAATTTGGGGAAAAAAAACAGCATAATTTCCAGTGATGAGTCTTGATGAAATTTCTGTCTTAAACCACTGAACTGTGACGGATAGAAATTGAAGCAATGATGTTCTCCTGATCTCTCTTGTCTTTTTGCTATTATGTTACAACTTTTATAAAACATTTATATTTTTATGCATTGTACATTACTTACAGTTTTTATTTTTTACCCTACCTTTGTTTTTGTTTTAGTTCCAATAAGGAACAAAAGGGGGAACTGTAAAATAATAATAATGAAGAGTTAGAGCCTGTGAAGCGGAGTGTGTGGACCGGGCTCTCCATGCGAGGGTTGAAGGGAAGGCCAGGAGAGAGAAGAATATGTGGTTGTACCTTCCTAAGCCTCCCTCATGGCATGAAAGGAAGATGGCTGTTGTGAAATAAATTTGTTCTTCACAAGGGGCTAGAAAACATGGGCTTGTTAAAATTAGGAAGTTATGACCCCAATAAAAAGCTGTTGTGCCTCAGGGGTTTCCTCATGGTTCTTTTCCTGGGAGCAAGTTATTTACTACTCTTAACTGAAACTGGGTAAAACCATATAAAAAGGACTATAAAACAGGACTAAAAAATAACAGAGTTTATTCCAGATCAGGTCGTTACAGGACAGAGAAAAATGCTTGGAGTCTGCACAGCTGTGGGCTCAAAAATCACGTCCGCTAGCGTCCGGCAAAAATTGAGCCCCGAACAAGGTCATCTCCTGCTTCTTATAGCTCATGAGTCTATGTAATGCATCATGTTGATGTTTAGCTGCCCGTATCAAAAACTGACATGCCATCCATGTCTTGAACTTCATGCAGCTTGCTTCTATGCTTCAGGGTTACAGATAGCTATCCTCTATTAGACCGGCTCCAAGATGTGCCCATATCCTGTGTACTCTTAAAGACATGAAGGCTGTCCTGATTAGATGACCACACAGTGACATCCACTATGTGAAGGAAGGCCTTCTACTCTGTCTAATCTGGCTAACAGAATAACAATGCACATGATGTATAAATAATAAACCTAACAGGCTTAACCTGGGAAATGTGGAAGGTGGGGTAAATCCGGAGAGTGGAGGGGAGATGAAGAAGGACAGCAGATGCCCCAATGGTCCTTTCCACCTCATACAGACCAATGAAGCATGGTGACAGTTTTTTTTGACAAAGCCTTGAGAGGGATGTCCTGGGTGGAGAGCCAGACCTTCTGGCGCGGGATAAACGTAGGGGCGACCCTCCTCTCCTCGGTCAGACCTCCCGAGGGTCGTCATGGTCCTGCTCCAGATGGCTCTGCATCTTCGGATGTTATACTGAACAGAGAGCACAGCGACGGCAGCCTCCTCAGCTGAAAAAAGGGGAGGCTGATAACCCAGAGAGGCTTCAAAAGGGGAGAGTCCTGTGGCAGATGAGACATGAGTGTTGTGAGCATACTCAACCCAAGGGATAAACTGACTCCAATCGGTGGGGTTGGATAGCCAATAAGCATCTCAGGCTAGCCTCCAACCCCTGGTTCATGCGCTCGACTTGACCATTTGACTGAGGATGATAGCCAGAAGTGAGTGAGACTTTGGCCCCAAGGGCCGAACAAAAACCCTTCCAAACCTGTGATGTGATTTGGGGACCTCGATCAGAGATGATGTCTTGAGGGATTCCATGAAAAAGTGCTTCACTAGGAGTTGGGCTGTTTGCAGTGCTGTGGGATGCTTCCTCAGAGAAACAAGATGGCACGCCTTGAAAAAACAGTCAATAATAGTTAGGATAGTGGTCATACCTTTAGAGGTGTGAAGTCCAGTGATGAAGTCTATTGCTATGTGAGACCTAGCCTCATGAGACCATCCTGATCTCGCGAGCTTTCAAGGTTTCACTCGCAGATCAGTCTGGCTACTCTCCGTTAAAGAACATTTGGAGCAGTTCACCAAACGAATGTCCAATCAGCGTTGCCTTTGAGGCGGGTTGAGGTGTGACACAACGAGAAGCACGACAGTTCAGTCTAAAGAACATGGCGGCTTCAGCCGATGAAACTAGCGTTAGCGTGGCTATCGAGCAAGTTTTATCAGAATTACAGAGTATTTCTTCACTGAAAGAAGAGCAAAACACTGCTTTGGAGGCTTTTCTCAGAGGAAAAGATGTTTTTGCTCTTTTCCCGACTGGTTTCGGCAAGAGTTTGATCTATCAATTGGCTCCTCTTCGTCGTCGCTCTGTTAGTACGTCATATGCTTCGTTGATCTGATTGGTTTATTTGGCCCGTCTATCACCAACATAGGCCAATCAGCTAACCAGTATTTTCGCCCCTTCCAAAAATTACTTCAACGGAAGGTTTCCAGATGGATATGTAGAGCAAATCCATCTGGCGGAGTCAGGTTATGTTAGACCAGGGTCTCTTGGGAATGGGCAATGGTTGAAGGAAACCGACAGGGGGCTGATGTGAAGACTTTTTACGAGTGCAGGTCAGGCAGGCCAACACAAACTCCTTAACGTCCTTTAGTAAGGAGGGTCATCAAAAACGCCGACTAATGAGAGCCACAGTACGACTGATACCTGGATGGGCAGAGAACTTGGAAGTGTGGAGCCAGTTAATTACCCGAGAACGAATGGATGAGGGGACAAAAACTCTGTTGGGGGGTCCAGTACCAGGATCAGGCTCAGACTGCTGTGCCTGCTTGACAAGGTCCTCAATCTCCCAAGTGACTGCTACAACTGAACAGCTGGGAGGCAGAATGGGAGCAGCAGATTCTTCAGATTCGTCCGGGGCAAACTGCCTACAGAGTGCATCCGGTTTGACATTCCGAGAGCCAGGGTGAAAGGAAATGGAGAGGTTAAACCGGGAAAGAAATAGAGACCAGCGCGATTGGCAAGAGTTGATTCTCTTGGCGGATTGAATGTATGACAAGATTTTATGATCAGTCAAAACCTGAACAGGGTGTGTAGCACATTCCAGCCAGTGTCTCCATTCCTCAAGAGCTAGCTTAATGGCTAATAGCTCACGGTCTCCAATGTCATAATTTCTCTCTGCTGGGGAAAGTCTGCGAGAGAATAGGCACAAGGGTGTAATTTGTCATCTGAGTCAGATATCTGGGAGAGGACGGTTCCAACAACCGAATCAGAGGTGTCAACTTCCACCACAAACTGTTTAGAGAGATCAGGCTGAATGAGCACAGGAGCATTGGCAAAAAGGTCCTTTAAACAAACTAAGGCTGCCTCAGGGGACCAAACAAAAGGGACCTTAGTAGAAGTTAGAGAAGTGAGTGATAGAGCATGAGTGAAAGGCATCACTAGATACTCGAAGTGTCCTATGGGAATTTTGAAGGCAGTTTTCCATTCGTCTCCTTCCCTTATTCGAAGAAGATGATAGGAATTCTGAGATCCAGTTTAGTAAAAACAGTGGCGCCTTGAACAGGTTCAAACTCAGACGACAAAAGAGGCAAAGGATATTTGTTCTTGACAGTAATTTGATTCAAACCTCTGTAGTCTATAAAGGGTATAAGACAACCATCCTTCTTTCCAACAAAGAAGAATCCAGTTCCAGGAGGTGATGAAGAAGGAGATGTGTTCCATATGATTTCCAGACATTGTCAGCTGAATGGGGCGTGTCTGGTGGGTTATCCGGTGCAGGTTTCTGCCATCCAGAGCAAAAATTCAAAGAGGAACCCTCTTTTGAGTTTTTGCAGAGGTATCATTTCAATACCCATCTGCTGAGCAAAGGCAGAGTCAATTAAGTTTTGTTCACAACCAGAGTCTATGAGAGCCGATAGGGAGAAATACTTATTATTAATTAACAGAGATGCTGGCAAGAGTAGACAAGGTGCAGTGGAAGAAATCTTCTGGTCCGGCAGTAGCCTCATTTCTACTGGTGGACCCTGGCTTTTATCAAAAGGGGACACGAAGCAACAAAATGTCCCGCTTCTCCACAATAAAGGCAGAGCTTAGCCCGCATGCTGTGTTGTTTCTGCTCAGGGCTTAACCTAGTGCTGCCAATCTGCATGGGTTCAGGTGGAGAAGGGTTAGTAGGAAACTCAGTAGAGAGATTGTTTGTAGACTGAGGTTTAAAAGGAGAAGTTCTAGTACCTCTTTCCTTATTTCGAGCTAGGATCCGATTGTCCAAACTGATTGACAGTTTGATTAATTCCTCAAGAATCTCCGGTTCATTCACGGTGGCTAGCTCATCCTTAATGGAGTCATTGAGTGCGTTAGTGTAAACACACATGAGGGCAGTCTTATCCCAGCCCGAAGCAGCAGGGATTATGGGAAAATCAATGGCGAAATAAGATACAGACCTCTGTCCCTGTTTTAATTTCAGCATTTCACAAGAGTTAAGTCTCTTGCCCGGATCCTGGTTAAAAGTCTGCTTGAATTCAGTTATGAATTCCTCAAAGGTGCAGCCATAATCAGTGGATGAGGAAGATCTAACCACGGCCCAATCCAGGGCTTGGTCAGTTAGATGAGAAATGACTTAAGAAATTTTAGTTGAATCCAGAGGAAGAGTTAGTTGGGGCATGGTTGAACTGGATTAAACACTGCATAAGGAAACCCTGGCACTTCTTGGGGTTTCCTTCGAACCTGGGAGGACTAGCCAGCTGACACTCAGAGAAGGGGGGAGTTTAACAGGTTTATTGAGTACAGTTGGGTTGGATTCAGGGGAACTCAGTAAGCTGGTGAACCGGAACTGGAAGTGAGAAGGGAAGTTCGCAGAGGTTAGTTCAGGGTCTGTGGGAACTTTGAACGACGTCTTGCAAAAACACAGATAAACGGGAATCCCGTTTGCGGAGAAAGGTTTCTTCCCAGAATACAGTCGGTGTGGGTTTTTCCAGAGATTGAGGGGCTTGTTGGAGGGCGGACAGGTTTTGGTTTGGTTGGTTCCTGAGGAGCAATGGAGCAGACTGCCACTTAGATTTCCAGGAGAACTTGAACGCGACGTATGGAGATTAATCCCCTGCTCAGTGTGAAACTCAAACAATCCTTCCAGGGGGAGAAGGCCAAACATCCAATATGCAGGATGATTTCCTGCCGAAAGGCAAAAGACAAAAACAACTTTAGACTCAGAGTAACAAAAGACTCAGTTAGACTCATCTAAACTCAGCTTGGCTAGAGTACCCAAAACTGGCAAACACCCTGGAGTCGAGGTAGTGACAGTCCACCGCTTAAATACTCCTCAGTGATGAGCCAGCCAGCCGCAGGTTTGCAGGAGGACCAACAAGGACAGGGTGTAACCTGGTGGTGGGGGGAGAGCAGAACACCAAAAAACACAGCCCACACTACTGGATTCCTAACATTAAGCCTTGCCTGCTTAAAATAAGACAGACTTTCTGCCTCACAGACTAAATCTGGTAGTTGGTTCCACAGGAGAGGAGCCTGATAACTAAAAGATCTGCATCCCATTTTACTTTGAGAAATTCTAGGAACCACAAGTAAACCTGCAGATTGAGAGCAGAGTGCTATTTTAGGGACATAAGGAACAATCAGACATCTGATATAAGATGGACCTGGGCCATTTCAGGCTTTATGTGTGAGAAGGAGTATTTTTAATTCCATTCTAGATTTAACAGGAAGCCAATGAAGAGAAGCTAGGATAGAGATATGATCTCTCTTTTTAATTTTCACCAGAAAGCTGGCTGCAGCATTTTGGATCAGCTGAGGGCTTTTAACTACAGTTTGTGGACTTCCTGGTAGTAAACAATTACAGTGGTGTGGCCTTGAAGTAACAAATGCATGATGCTGAGCATCACCGCTGGACAGGATAGTTCTATTTTTTGCAATATTCCACAGTTAACATACTTTAAAATTGACTGAGATAAATTTAATCCCATCCAGATTAAGGGACAGACTAATCAGATTCTTTTTCAGACTCTGGTCCAAAAACTATCATTTCTGTATAAGTTCATTTTATTTCTCATTAATGTACACTCAGCACCCCATTTTAAAAGAAAAGAACAGAAAAGTCAAACATTTTACAAATTTATTAAAAAAGAAAAGCTGAAAACAAATCGTCATAAGTATTCATACCCTTTGCTGTGACACATATCTAACTCACAAGCTTCCAATTTTTTCTGATCATCCTTAAGATGGTTCTGCTCTTTCATTGGAGTCCATCTGTGTTTAATTATAATCTTTAAATGGTAATGGCCATCCAGCCAAACTGAGCAATCTTGGGAGAACAGCCTTGTTGAGAGAGGTAAAGAATAACCCAAAGATCTTGGTGACTGCGGTCCAGAGATGCAGTAGGGAGATGGTTGAAAGTTCCACAAAGTCAACTATCACTGCAGCCCTCCTTCAGTCAGGGCTTTATTTGGCCTTACGTAAAGCTCTCCTCAGTGCAACATAAAAAAGCCTGCATAGATTTCCTTCCTTCATCCTTCTTTCATCTGAGGAACATTGCAAAAATTAGAAATATCCTGTCCAGGGGTGATGCTGAGAAACTAGTCCATGCATTTGTTACTTCAAGGCTGGACTATTGTAATTCTTTACTATCAGGAAGTCCACAAACTGTAGTTAAAAGCCTTCAGCTGATCCAAAATGCTGCAGCCAGAGTTCTAATGAAAATGAAAAAGAGAGATCATATCTCTCCTATCCTGGCTTCTCTTCATTGGCTTCCTGTTAAATCAAGAATAGAATTTAAAATCCTCCTTCTCACATATAAAGCCTTAAATGGCCAAGCTCCATCTTATATCAGAGATCTGATTGTTCCTTATGTTCCTAACAGAGCACTTCGCTCTCAATCTGCAGGTTTACTAATCGTTCCTAGAATTTCTAAAAGTAGAATGGGAGGCAGATCTTTTAGTTATCAGGCTCCTCTCCTGTGGAACCAACTACCAGTTTTAGTCCGTGAGGCAGACACCCTGTCTACTTTTAAGGCTAGGCTTAAAACTTTCATTTTTGATAAAGCTTATAGTTAGGGTGGCTCAGGTTATCCTGAGCTATCTCTATAGTTATGCTGCTATAGGCTTAGACTTTTGGAGGACATAGGGACCCCCATTTCATCATTCTGCTTCATTCTCTCTCTGTTCTCCTATTCTGCAGAATCTGTTAGTTCAATCTCTAACCTTCTGCTCTCTCTGCTTTTCCTCAGAGTAGCTTTGCCTCATCTGTTCCTGTTTGGCTGTGACGTCATCCTGGAAAAAAACATCAGCTGTGCTGCTTCTATCAACACCCTTGTTAATAGATGTTGGAGATCGGCCTGTTTTCCAGTGTGGTCCTGTTTCTCTGACCGTGACTGAGTGGATGTGCTCTCTTCGTCCTCTGGCATGGGAGCTGCCTTGGAGCTCGTCTGCCTGGCTGTGTGTTTCCTGGACGGGGCCGCCTTTTACAGCTGCTTTTTGTATCTCTGCTTCTGTCTCCTTGAACCCCAGTCGGCCTCGGCAGATGGCCGCTCACACTGAGCCTGGTTCTGCTGGAGGTTTCTTCCTGTTAAAAGGGAGTTTTTCCTCTCCACTGTCGCTACAAGCATGCTTAGTGTGGGGGATTGTATTTGAGTCAATGAGTCAATGCAATCAACTGGTTTTCCTTAGATAGAAAACTTTGTATCAATTTGACTGTATGATCTGGTTGAACTGTAAAGTGCCTTGAGATGACATGTGTTGTGAATTTGGCGCTATATAAATAAACTGAATTGAATTGAATTGAATAGATTTTGTGGTCTATGTGACCAAGATTTACCTTTTTGCATTAATTTTAAGCAGTATTTGTTGAGAAAACGGGCACTGTTAATCACCTGCCCAATACAATCCTAACAGTGAAATATGGTGGTGGCATCATTATGCTATGGGGGTGTTTTTAGCTGCAGGGACAGGGCGACTGGTTGCAATTGAAAGAAAGATGAATGCTGCCAAGTACAGAGATATCCTGGAAGGAAACCTCTTCCTGAGTGCTAACGACCTCAGACTAGGCTGAAGGTTCACCTTCCAACAAGACGATGACCCAAAGCACACGGCTAAAATAACTAAGGAGTGGCTTTGGAAAAACTCTGTGGCCATTTTTGACTGACCCAACCAGAGCCCTGACCTAAACCCAGTTGAAGATCTCTGGAGAGACCTGAAAATGGCTGTCCACCATTACTAACCATCCAGCCTGACAGAACTGGAGAGGATCTGCAAGGAAGAACGGCTGAGGATTCCCAAATCCAGGTGTGAAAACATTGATGCATCATTCCCAAGAAGATTCATGGCTGTACTTGCTCAAAAGGGTGCTTCTACTCAATACTGAGCAAAGGGCCTGAATACGTATGACAATGTAATATTACAGTTTTTCTTTTTTCATAAATTTGCCAAAATTTCTACATTTATGTTTTTTTTCCTGTCAAGATAGTGTGCTGATTGTATATTAAAGAGAAATAAATTGAACTTTAATTGATTTTAGCGGATGGCTGCAATAAAACAAAGAGTGGAAAATGTAAAGGATTTCATAAGAGGCTCCCCCTTGAGAATGTCCTCAAAAAGATATTGAGCACAGCCTATGACACAGGGTTTTATTGATGCAGTGTTTTTTTTTAAGTCAATGTTCATATTCCATTACATGTTAAAATTCATGTTAAGATGTAAGACAGAACATCTACTGAACCTGTCACTGCTCCACATGTATACAAAAATATGCCCTTCGAGTTTTTTTGTTTTGTTTTGTTGTTGTTTTAATCTATGCTTTATTTTTTGTATGTGAATATTTTTTTAAATACTCATAAAATCTTTTTTTATTGTCTTAAATATTTACTGCAATGCCCAATATTTTATTATGGCCTAAAATAATTGTTGTTCAAAGTTGGACACTTTTTCTGACCTGGCTTAACACCCTAATGAGGTCATCATAGAAGAATAAAATAGGAGTGGCATTTGAGTGGATCAATACCTTAAAGGTGTGTCAAAGAGTTTAAGAATTTATACAAACCAGAATTTGGTATCAAAGCTCTTAGAGATGGAAGAAGTAGAGCTCTGCTTCCCACAGCTGCTCAAAACCTCCTGCAGGAAACCAAAGCATTCTTCCTCTCATATATTGCTTCTTTCTGTTCTCCTATCTGTTGTTTCTCTTCTGACTGTGAGTCTTAACATGCTGGTAATCATTGCAATTCTGCACTTCAGGTAAACACTATTTTAAAATTAAATGATATAATGAAAAAAGAAGGATGTAGCAGAAGGAAATTGATGTCAATTAAACATACTTTTAATGCATTACTTATTTTAACTATTATTGTTTAAATAAGTGAAAGGGTCAACATGTGTTTGTGTTTCTAATCTTTCCAGACAGCTTCACACCTCCACAAACATGATTCTTCTCTCTCTGGCTTTCTCAGATTTCTTCGTGGGTTTTCTCTTCTTGTTTCAACTCATGATGGTAGACGGCTGCTGGTATCTTGGCAACCTCATGTGTGCTCTGTTTGGTATTTTAGATTTAATTATTGTCTCTGCCTCAGTGGGAAATATGGTGCTTATTTCAATTGACCGTTATGTAGCCATATGTGATCCTCTGCATTATCCCACTAAGGTCACTCTGAAAAGAGCTAGAGTCTCAGTTTCACTCTGTTGGACTTGTTCTGTAATTTATTCCACTGTGATGTTGAGGGAGAACTTAGATAATTTGGACAAATTTAGTTCCTGTGCTGGAGACTGTACAGCTGACTTTGGCATCACAGGGTTTATTATCGATCTTTTTTTAACATTCCTTATTCCCATTACTGTCATATTAGTTCTTTATGCCATAGTCTTTGTGGTGGCTGTTTCTCAGATTCAGATCATGCGCTCTCAAGTTTCAGTCCTCACAAGTAGGTATTCAGTAAAAGCAATTCCCAAGAAATCTGAAATAAAAGCAGCCAGGACTCTTGGGCTTGTGATAATTGTGTTTCTGTCGTGCCTTTGCCCTTATTTCTGCATCTCCCTATTGAGTTTAGACAGCTTGCTCCATACTTTGACAGGTGTTTATGTTATGTCATTGTTTTACTTCAATTCCTGTCTTAACCCACTAATCTATGCATTATTCTACCCTTGGTTTAGAAAGTCTATCAAAATTATTGTTACACTTAAAATATTCAAGTCAGGTTCCTCTAATGTAAACTTACTGCATCCCTAATCACTATACTGTACAGTGTCCAGCAAATCTGTAAACAATATTTTTCCTATATTGTTTCTTTCCTTTTATTTCAAAAACTCAATCTCCATGTGTTTTAGTTAGATTTTTAGGTGTTGGACAAATAAATAATCAAGCAGAATTGTGAAGGAGAAGGGAAATAATACACAGTTTTGATCAAAGAAATACTTTACATTACACCAGCACTCAGGGGCCAGTGTAAATGGTGAAAAAGGAGAAGGATTCTAAAGGCCTATGATTAATAGGGGCCCAGTAAGGACCCTGATAGAATTACAAAAGTGACAGAAATATTATGACAACTAGTAATAAACTTACAATCACCCACTGTTTTATGTTTTAGGTAAACCATTTTTGTCTGTTTTGAAAATACAGATACACACACACATTTGCATAAAATTGTTAAGATAACTACCCGCTTCACTTCCTTTATGAGGCCTCTGGCAAGTTTTCACAGACAGCGATTGGAGAAGGGGACAGTAAGATTTTGCAGTCAAGGAACCAAAGAAAGGAAACAGCATTAGCTCCAATAAGAGAAAGAGGGAAAGACTTGATGGTATGCCACTCAATTCAATTCAGTTTGTTTATATAGTGCCATATCACAACACATGTCATCTCAAGTCACTTAACTGATCAAATTCAATAATACAGTACAGAGCCCCCTTCTGCTGTCTTCTATCACAGGAAAGGTAGTGTAGTTAGTGTTTCATGTACAGTTGCAATAACTTATTGCAAGTATATTTTATTTGATTATGTTTTGTCTGTCTAGTAAAATGTGGCTGTTTTCATGTTGGGTTTTCAGTTACATTCTGATGTCTTTTTGTGTTTTCTAAGACATCAGTTTCGTTTTCTATTTAGTGTTATTTAAAGTTATAGGGCAATCTTTTATTTACGGGTGGATCTTCTAAATAAGTGTACCTCCTAATTGTCAATCATTCTGGTGTTATGTTTACCTAATTCAAATATATATTTGTGTTGATGAAAGAAATAAAAAATGGGTCCAAGAAATGTTCTGCTAAACACAGACAGCTCCATTGTAAGCCTATAGATTTCAAGATGAAATACACAGGATACATTAAGCATTTTAAATTAATTAAAACAAAAAGCAATGGCATCAATTAAAGATATGATTTGAACTAAAGACTAATTTGCAATGACTAATATTGAGTAAATCACTGACGGTTCCTGAATTAGTCTGAGACGTATTGATATTGCGGTGGTTTTAAGATACATGATTATCCAAAGATCTTAAAATTAATTGTTGATTCATACCTGAATAGTAAAGTTAGCTTTGAGAATTAAATGTATTAGTTTTCCTGAGAAAGATGAAGAGTTCAATAAACAATTGAATTTGTGATTTTCGTTGCTCACTAGATGGCAATGACCTGAAATGAAGTAAGCCGATTTAAAAAAAAAAAAGTAATGTAGTTAAGCTACTTTTGTCTTTTTGTTGTAGCTTTGCTTGCTACATTTTTCTGATGGAAAGCTTCAGTGTAATGAATCTTCATTTCTTGTAGAATAATTCACAGCTTAACTCAACATTTTCTAAGCAGCTTCCCCAATACTGTGAAGCTGGCAGTGTCCATGCATAATAATCCAAATGTCAGAGACTCAGAACCTTGGACCCAATATTCAAGCAGACAGATCTGGATGATTTCAAATAAAGCTTTTATTTAAACAATAAAAAAATGCAGCTGTTGGTCAGTTGGATCTCTGGATCCTCTTGTTTTGAGTTCAGTTCGATCCAGAGGAAGGAGTTGAATCCAAACGGCAGATTTGTCCACAGCTTTCGGCGGATGCCGCACCAAGAGTTCATTGTGAAAAGCAGAGTTGACGCCTGTTGACGCCAAAGAGCAACATTGTCCATGAAGGAAGATCTAGAGCCAAAGTCAAAGCAGAACCAGGTTCACAGACCATAAGATCAGAGAACAGAGGAGGTACCAAGCCGAGGTCAGAAGAACGGTCCAAGTGCGGTAAGCCGGCAGAATCCAGGAATCAGTCCAGAACAAACAGACTTACAGTGCAGAAAGCAAAGCAAAAACTTGGGAGTCCCAAAGGCAGAAACAGATCAGGATCAGAAATTAAGAACAATATTCAGGAATGCTAGAGTTACTCTCACCTGTTGTGCCATGTGCCATGATCGTGATTTTTGGCAGTGGGAACCAGTTTCCATGTTCCGTCTTAAAATGATAACCTGAAAAGAGAATGCAGTTTTGGTTCATATACAGCTTGGAGACCTCTCTTCTCTCCTAAGAAACCCCCTCCCAGTGGTGTGATTTGCTTTGGCCCCCCACAGACCTGGGAAGGATAAAACCACAGCACACAGGATTTCTTTCTCTTCTTTCCTATGAAGCTGCCTTGGGGTCCACATCGAAAGACGCCACAACCGTAAAGATCCAGGGAAAAGGCCCAGATCTCCAGAATGATCAAGGATAAGTCATGATGGTTGACTTTACAGAACCAAACTGCTGCAAAACAGACTTTTTGCAACACATTATCTTGAGTTTTAAAAATTACAGAGCCAGACTGGAGGAGAACGTCTTCTGAAGACCCCTTGGTGTGAGGCACTGAGACAAAGAAACCCTGTTTGCTGTGAGCCTGCCATGCTAAGCTGCTGGATGAAAACTCAAGCCTTCCAAACGGTTGTGGACAGAGGTTTACAGGTCTGGCACAATTAGGGACAGAACAAACAATATGTCTTTTGATGATTTTGATCATTTCATGTGTTCACAGATGGGTAAAGACAAAGCTAACAGGATGGACTGCATGCTACGCTACAGTAATATGTTTTCAGCTTTTGTTGAAGCTTAGACAAGCTTTATTTCACTAAGGGTTTAACACTTATATAACATTATTGTTTGTGTGTTTTCTCATATGCTCATTATATTTTGATTACCAAGTATGACCAAAAGTAATTTAATGGAATCCTCATGTCTAATCGCTGCTAGCTATTTCAAAAAGGGTAAAGGATCATTTAACTAAAGGTTACTGGTTCCTGATTAAGCAAATCATTTAATAAAACACTATTTGCCCAAATAATATTTTATTCATCTCAAGGATTTGCATTGTGAATTGGTCTGAAAACATTCAAATTGCTCTAAATTAGTGAATAGCTCACATTCCAAATTCTTCCAGATAAACTTTAGTTTCCCAAACATAAAATTAATCTGAAACTGCAATATGGTTTTCAACTACTGTATGTTTCCTGTTCCGTTTTATACATAGTAGTTTAGTTTAGTTTCACTAGTTTTAGTCAAGAGTTTTTAAATGTAATATGTTTGACTTGGAGCTGAATGATTTTTGTCAATAAACTTATATTTTGAACAGAAGTTGTGGTGAATTTATTCCATGTATGTGCAGAATTATCTGTTTAACCATGATTTGAGCTCAAATCGCTCTTTAATTTATTGCTCTTACACACAGCTAGTAGGGCATGTGTTCATAAACAATATATGAAATTTCGAATAATATCTGATTAAAAAGATATTTACCACCCCTACCTGAGAGGGCAATAAATATACACATGAATTCCGAGTTGGCTTAGAATTGAATATATATATTTTGCCTGTAATGTTAAAGATAATTCAGAGTTTTGGTTTTCATTTCTCTGTTGTTTCGATATATATAGCATGGGAGTCGACCCCTGCCTGGTGGCATGGATCTCCAGCTACCTCACAGACAGGCCACAGTATGTCAGGCTGAAAGAGACCATCTCTGAAACAGTGGTCAGTAGCACTGGAGCCCCCCAGGGCACAGTGCTGGCCCCTGTCCTCTTCACCTTATACACCTCAGATTTCTGTTACAACGGGAGCCAGAAATTCTAATGATGATCTGCGCTGGAACAGACATGGTTGCTGATAGGTCCTTTGGAACTACTTCATTCCTTTACAAATTATGTTTGACTAATTATTCAAAAACAATAAGGTGATAGCTTCAGTGGGGTTGAGATAGGATCCCAGTTTTCATCTCCTAATTTTTTTTCCCTCAACAAATAAAAAAAATGCTCTAATTTTTACAGATGAATTTAACAGTTTTTCTTGAGTTCTAATTCAAGTTTTATAGAAAACAGTAGTTTTAACTTAAGTTAAGTCAACAATATGTAAAATTCCTAAATAATAAATGTATATTGACCTCACAAGAAATTGAATTTCTATTAAACCTAATTAAAAAGAAATTTCACTTCATACAGCTCTCTTAATATATTTGAATCTCTTGCCCTGTTTTTTTATTTCATGCTTTTCTGTGCCCCCATGAAAACATGCTGCCCCCCTCCTGGCCCCCTGGTACATTTGGTCTAGATCCGCCACTGTTCCTTACCTTCACTAGACTTGCATATACTTTAGTATATTCTGCTGTAAAATTAGTCCCATATTTTCATTTTTTACTCGAGGGTTCAACCTCTGCCGTTTCACAGGATGCACAGCTTTGAGTGGTAACTAGGTGAGAGTAACTCGAAACTTATCGGACTGATCCAATCAGCTCTCTGACAACCAGTCGCCTGGAACGCTCATTGAACAAAGCATCGCTTTGTACAGACACGCTGCAAAGGTTTCACAAGCAACCTCCTCAAAACACCCCGCGCTATCTTGTTGTCTGCGCAATCGAAGTAGTTCTTATCCACACATGATGCATGGATTATTGCCTGCCCGCTCTCATTCGCATTAAAAAACACCACCTCGCAGAGTCAAAAATCGAATGAGATGCTGTCTACGCTCTTATAAAGGCAGATCCAAAGAAACTTCTATTTTCTAGTAAGGTGGCAACGAAAAATTTTACATGTATAGAGCTGAATGAATGTGTTAATTTAGGGGGAAAAAAGCATAATTTCCAGTGATAAGGCTTAATGAAGCTTCTGTCTTAAACTACTGAACAATGATGGATAGAAATGGAAGCAATTATGTCCTCCTGATCTCTCATGTCTTTTTGCAGTTATGTTACAACTTTTATTTACTCTATCTTTGTTTTTGTTCCGATAAGGAACAAAAGGGGGGAATTGTGAAATAAAAATAATGAAAAGTTAGAGCCTGTGATTGGAGTGTGTGGACCAGGCTCTCCATACGAGGGTTGAAGGGAAGGCCAGGAGAGAGGAGAATATGTGGTTGTACCTTTCCTTAGCCTCCCTCATGGCAGGAAATGAAGACAGCTGCTGTGAAATGTTTCATCTGGCTAGTGAAAGATGTATGTCCTTGATGGACTGAAGTTGTTTTTCTTGGGATTAGCCAATGTTCAGGTAAAAAGGTTCTATATATGCAGGGGTGAAAAACCACCCCAGCAGAGCCTCACTGACAGTTATACTGGAAGTTTTATCTCCCTGTCTGCAGACATAAAAGTAAATGTGTTATTTCTCACACCGTGTGTCTCAGTTCTCTACTACTCCACATTAGAGATGGATGAAAAGGTGTCCGTATGTCCTCCAACAGTCTTATAGCAGTATAACTATAGAGAAAGCTCCAGTAAACCTAAACCACTCTAACTATAGGTTTTACGAAAAAGGAAAGGTTTAAGCCTTGCCTTAAAATAAGACAGACTTTCTGCCTCACGGACTAAAACTGGTAGTTGGTTCCACAGGAGAGGAGCCTGATAACTAAAAGATCTGCCTCCCATTCTACTTCTAGGAACCACTAGTAAACCTGCAGATTTAGAACAAAGTGCTTCGTTATGGACATAAGGAATAATAACATCTCTGATATACGAAGGGGCTTGTCCATTTAAGGCTTTATAAGTGAGAAGGAGGATTCTAAATTCCATTCTAGATTTAACAGGAAGCCAATGAAGAGAAGCCAGGATAGGAGAGATATGATATCTCTTTTTCATTTTCATCAGAACTCTGGCTGCAGCATTTTGGATCAGCTGAAGGCTTTTAACCACAGTTTGTGGACTTCCTGGTAGTAAACAATTACAGTTGTGCAGCCTTGAAGTAACAAAGGCATGTACTAGTTTCTGAGCATCATTGACTGACATTAATTTAATCCCATCCAGATGAAGGGAAAGAATAATCAGCTTCTTTTTCAGAATCTGGTCCAAAATCTATAATTTCTGTATAAGTTCATTTTATTTCTCATTAATGTACACTCAGCACCCCATCTTTAAAGAAATAAGCAGAAAAGTCAAACAGTTTACAAATTTATTAAAAAAAGAAAAGCCGAAAACAAATCATCATAAGTATTCAGACCCTTTGCTGTGACACATATCTAACTCACAAGCTTCCAATTTCTTCTGATCATCCTTAAGATGGTTCTGCTCTTTCATTGGAGTCCATCTGTGTTTAATTATAATCTTTAAATGGTAATGGCCATCCAGCCAAAACTGAGCAATCTTGGGAGAACAGCCTTGTTGAGAGAGGTAAAGAATGACTCAAAGATCTTGGTGACTGCGGTCCAGAGATGCAGTAAGGAGATGGGTGAAAGTTCCACAAAGTCAACTGCAGCCCTCCTTCAGTCAGGGCTTTATTTAGCCTTACGTAAACCTCTCCTCAGTGCAACATAAAAAAAGTCTGCATAAATTTTGTGGTCTAATATGACCAAGATTTACCTTTTTGCATTAATTTTAAGCAGTATGAGTTGAGAAAACTGGGCACTGTTAATCACCTGCCCAATACAATCCTAACAGTGAAATATGGTGGTGGCATCATCATGCTATGGGGGTGTTTTAGCTGCAGGGACAGGGCGACTGGTTGCAATTGAAAGAAAGATGAATGCTGCCAAGTACAGAGATATCCTGGAAGAAAACCTCTTCCTGAGTGCTCAAAACCTCAGAATGGGCAGAAGGTTCACCTTCCAACAAGACGATGACCCAAAGCACACAGCTAAAATAACTAAGAAGTGGCTTTGACTGACCCAACCTGAGCCCTGACCTAAACCTAGTTGAAGATCTCTGGAGAGACCTGAAAATGGCTGTCCACCATTACTCACCATGCAGCCTGACAGAATTGGAGAGGATCTGCAAGGAAGAACGACAGAGGATTCCCAAATCCAGGTGTGAAAACATCGTTGCATCATTCCCAAGAAGATTCATGGCTGTACTAGCTCAAAAGGGTGCTTCTACTCAATACTGAGCAAAGGGCCTGAATACTTATGACAATGTAATAGTTTTTGTTTCTTTATAAATTTGCAAAAATTTCTACATTTATGTTTTTTTCTTTAAGGATGGTGTGCTGATTGTACATGAATGAGAAATAAAATGAATTTTAATAGATTTTAGCAGATGGTTGCAATGAAAGAAAGAGAAAAAGAGACTGCATACATTCTGTACCTACTATATGACAGACCCCAAAAATTCAAGGATGTCATAAGAGGCTCCCCCCTTGAGAATGTGCTCAAAAAGATATTGAGCACAGCCTATGACACAGGGTTGTATTGATGCAGTGTTTTTTTAGAGTCAATGTTCATATTCCATTACATGCCCCACATGTATACAAAAATATGCCCTTTGAGGGTTTTTTTTTGTTTTTTGTTTTTTTATCTATACATTTTTTGTATGTATTTGTTTTGAATAATCATAAAATCAATTTTCATTGTCTTAAATATTTACTGCAACACCAAATATTTTATTATGGCCTAAAATAATTGTTCAAAGTTGGACACTTTTTCTGACCAGGCTTAACACCCTAATGAGGTCATCATAGAAGAACAAAATAGGAGTGGCATTTGAGTGGATCAATACCTTAAAGGTGTGTCAAAGAGTTTAATAATTTATATAAACCAGTAATTGGTATCAAAGCTCTTAGAGATGGAAGAAGTAGAGCTCTGCTTCCCACAGCTGCTCAACACCTCCTGCAGGAAACCAAAGCATTCTTCCTCTCATATATTGCTTCTTTCTGTTTTCCTATCTGTTGTTTCTCTTCTGACTGTGAGTCTTAACATGCTGGTAATCATTGCAATTCTGCACTTCAGGTAAACACTATTTTAAAATTAAATGATATAATGAAAAAAGAAGGATGCAGCAGAAGGAAATTGATGTCAATTAAACATACTTTTAATGCATTACTTATTTTAACTATTATTGTTTAAATAAGTGAAAGGGTCAACATGTGTTTGTGTTTCTAATCTTTCCAGACAGCTTCACACCTCCACAAACATGATTCTTCTCTCTCTGGCTTTCTCAGATTTCTTCGTGGGTTTTCTCTTCTTGTTTCAACTTCTGATGGTAGACGGCTGCTGGTATCTTGGCAACCTCATGTGTGCTCTGTTTCTTACTTTAGATTTAATTCTTGTCTCTGCCTCAGTAGGAAATATGGTGCTTATTTCCATTGACCGTTATGTAGCCATATGTGATCCTCTGCATTATCCCACTAAGGTCACTCTGAAAAGAGCTAGAGTCTCAGTTTCACTCTGTTGGACTTGTTCTCTAATTTATTCCACTGTGATGTTGAGGGAGAACTTAGATAATTTGGACAAATTTAGTTCCTGTGCTGGAGAATGTACAGCTGACTTTGGCATCACAGGGTTTATTATCGATCTTTTTTTAACATTCCTTATTCCCATTACTGTCATATTAGTACTTTATGCTATAGTCTTTGTGGTGGCTGTTTCTCAGATTCAGATCATGCGCTCTCAAGTTTCAGTCCTCACAAGTAGGTATTCAGTAAAAGCAATTCCCAAGAAATCTGAAATAAAAGCAGCCAGGACTCTTGGGCTTGTGATAATTGTGTTTATGTCATGCCTTTGCCCTTATTTCTGCATCTCCCTATTGAGTTTAGACAGCTTGCTCCATACTTTGACAGGTGTTTATGTTATATCATTGTTTTACTTCAATTCCTGTCTTAACCCACTAATCTATGCATTATTCTACCCTTGGTTTAGAAAGTCTATCAAAATTATTGTTACACTTGAAATATTCAAGTCAGGTTCCTCTAATGTAAACTTACTGCATCCCTGAACACTATACTGTACAGTGTCCAGCAAGTCTGTAAACAATAATTTTCCTAATGTCAAAAACTCAACCTCCATGTGTTTTAGTTAGATTTTATGTGTTGGACAAATAAATAATAAAGCAGAATTTTGAAGGAGAAGGGAAAAAATACACAGTTTTGATCAAAGAAATACTTTACATTACACCAACACTCAGGGGCCAGTTTAAATGGTGAAAAAGAGAAAGGATTCTAAAGGCCTATGATTAACAGGGGTCCAGTAAGGACCCTGATAGAATTACAATAGTTACAAAATATTATGACAATTAGTAAATACAGTTATAATCACCAACTGTTTTATGTTTCAGTAAAACCATGTTTATTTGTCTTTAAAACATTTCTCAATAGCCTGTGACACACATGCACAACCACACATGCTCGTTCTGCAATCGTAGTGAGGACCATGTGTTGACTCCCATTGACTTTCATTCATTTTTAGTAATTTCTCAACCCTTTCTCTGCCCTAACCTAAAAACTAACCCTAAACCTAACCATTACCAATGCATCCAATGAAGCCTCTGGCAAGCCTTCAAGAACGGCGATTGAAGAAGGGGACAGCAAGATGCTGCAGTCGAGGAACCAAAGAAAGGAATTAACATTAGCTCCAACAAGAGAAAGAGGCAAAGATTTGTCAGTATGTGTTGCAGCTATTCTATTTCGTTTCATCTTGTCCTGTATTGACCTTTTTTATTCTATTATTTTTAGTAGCCTCTTGTGAAAGTAATCCTTTGCAGGTGCCACAAAGTGATCCTGCTGCAACTTACTCTCCACACAATCCTTTATCATTCCAGTGTGATCTATTGTAACTAGGGACCCCATTTTTCCAATAAAGTTATACGAGAGAGCGGTAGGAGATTGTATCTGAGGACATCTCTGCCTGGTAAAAGAATCTAACGTCTTTTGAGAACAGCAACTTTTAAACAGAGTATGGATGAGGAAAAATCGGCTTGTGCACGCTCTCGCACATTTTTAATAGGCCTTCCCTCTCGGTAGCAGGAACAAGGTTTTGCATGTGCATTTTTTGTTTAAGTTGAGAATGCGGGTCTTTTAAAAAATTTACGAAAATCCTCCACTGAACCTTTAATGTGTGTTAATCGGATAATTTGATTTGGATTGGTGAATAAAATTTTTTTTTTTTTAAAAGTGGTCTTGATGCGTTTCTTTATTTTACTTTGAAAAATTCTTTGAGATAGGGCCAAGGAGGAGGGAGGTCTTGTTGGTCTCCATCTCCCGATACGCTCTCGCCTGTGTCCGACCTTTCAGACATTTCAACATCTTTTTCTGAATCCCACATTGTAGCATGGCATAGACAATTCACGTTTGCAGTTTGAAAAACACCTGCTTGCTTCTGATTATTTCCTTTAGCTAACCAATGAGTGTTTGCGTTATATGACTCATCGAATTACACTAATGTTCACTAGATGTGGATTGTATGGGGCACATGACATGAAATCAATATTTATAAAGATTAAACCAGGGCTAACCATTTAAAAATCAGCAGGGTTCCGAATAAAGAAAATCATCAACAAGTAAAGGTTTGGAGACATTTTTAATGATCTGCTACTTTAAACAGAATTTAACACTGAAATAAAATGAGGTTTTTATGCATCCATGTTATACATTGAATTTTTAAATTAAATATATATATATAAAAAATTTAAAATCTAAAATGTTTTTTTAAAATAGAGAACAACAATCTTTCAGTTTGGTATATAGATAATTTCCTGATTCACATATTTTATAAAACACCGGAACTGACTGTTATTTTTTTCTTTCTTTTTTCTGTCTTAATAAGAGCAGTGGGCTTTAGTCTGCCCTGCAAGGCTTTAAACCTGGGTTTAAATGGAGACAAAGCCATTATCAAGTACATATCAAGGTGCTCATTTTGAGCCTGGATCCACATTTATTTTTTATTCTGTTCATGGTGGAGAATCCTGCTTCACAGCAGCAGGTTGAGCCAAACATCCTCTAAATGTTCAGGCTCCGCTCCGGTCCGGCCAGGTCAAGATCCGCTATTGCAATCGCACCAAACAGGAGAAAAAAAAGGGCGAGAAGATCCAGTTCATCAAATTAAAATATAGTTACAACAGATCGGTAATAACAACAAATTCTTAAATATTTCAAAACACCAACACCGTTTATTATCTATTTAAAAGATTGGATGCAAACTATTGGTTCTTCAACAGACCAGAAAGCTAATTTCTCACCTCCATCAGAAACCGCACATATGCTGGATGCTGATGGGGATTGTTTTTATATGTTATATTCAATTAAGTGTTCATTTCTGCAAGTTTTGCACCTATGACTTTAATGATAATATCGCGAATGCTCTCCTTGAGCTCCGAGGATAAATCAGAGCGCGGCAATATGGGAGGAACAGCAGAGGCTGTAGACTTTGCTTTGTGCAGGAGGTCTGGAGCTCTGCAGGGTGGAGCCGTGATGGAGGATGTGGGATTTCAGGGTAACAGGAGAAGCGGCGCAAGTGATGTTTAGACACTGTCCTCTGACAACATGTAGTAATTTATAAATGTTTTAAATCAGGTTGGGTCCGGATTAGCCAGCAGGTGGGTCCAGACCGCGGTCCGCTAATCCATGACCTCTGCATTTTATCTCAAATAAATGTCAGTAAAACATGAATTCGAAAGCGGAGAGACAGCCGGGCGCACAGCTGGTGTTGAGCTTGGAGAAAGCAGGTCGAGCGCGAGCAGAGATGGATCTGAGCACACGCAGAAAATGGAACTGAGCGAGACGACACTGTGTTGAGAAGAGTTTTTCAGAGTTGAGCGCACGCCAGACCGGTTTTGAGCGTGCGCGCGTTGTATTACTCCTCGCTCGGATTGGTTCCTGCACGCTCAAACCGAAGGCACAAATATCGCTCCATAAAAGTACAGATACTAGTGTGGAAATGTAAATAGTAGAAGTCAGAGGGAAAATAAATAATGGAGTAAAGTATAGACACCTAAAAAGTTTACTTAAGTATAGTAACAAAGTATTTGTACTTCATTACTTGACACCTCTGCTACTCAGTTTGTATATATGAAAGTTCCTGATTAAAAAGATATGAGAAAATAACAGGTAAGCTGAATTAGACAAGATCCACATGATCTGAGAATGATGGAGGAAGAGATAAGCAGAGGTGTCAAGTAAATAAGTACAAATACTTCGTTACTGTTCTTAAGTACACTTTTTAGGTATCTATTTGTACTCCATTACTTATTTTTCCTCCTACTTTGGACTTCTACTCATTACATTTTCACACCAGTATCCTTACATTCCTTACATTTTTAAAAAAAACGTTACTCGTTACTCTTGGCTTCAGTTTAATGCAGAGGTCAGTGATTAGCAGACTGCGGTCCTGCAGCTGCAAACCATCAGCCACTCTGGTGGCAGCATATTGGTAGCGGCCACTATGATGATAGTCTGGCTGTCCTGGCAGTAGGCTGCCCGGGCAACTTCAAGGTTTACTGACACCGTTTTAGGGCTGCAGAGGCCGGTTTTTGTTGAATAACTTATTTTTTATTTATTCTTCTTGCCGTTTATCGGCAAACAACTTATTATACAGGTAAAAGCCAGTAAATTCGAATATTTGGAAAAACTTCATTTATTTCAGTAATTGCATTCAAAAGGTGTAACTTGTACATTATATTTATTCATTGCACATATACTGATGCATTCAAATGTTTATTTTAATTTAATTTTGATGATTTGAAGTGGCAAAAAATGAAAATCCAAAATTTCGTGTGTCACAAAATTAGAATATTACTTAAGGCTAATACAAAAAAGGGATTTTTTAGAAATGTTGGCCAACTGAAAAGTATGAAAATGAAAAATATGAGCATGTACAATACTCAATACTTGGTTGGAGCTCCTTTTGCCTCAATTACTGCATTAATGCGGCGTGGCATGGAGTCCATGAGATTCTGGCACTGCTCAGGTGTTATGAGAGCCCAGGTTGCTCTGATAGTGGCCTTCAACTCTTCTGCGTTTTTGGGTCTGGCATTCTGCATCTTCCTTTTCACAATACCTCACAGATTTTCTATGGGGCTAAGGTCAGGGGAGTTGGCTGGGCAATTTAGAACAGAAATACCATGGTCCGTAAACCAGGCACGGGTAGATTTTGCGCTGTGTGCAGGCGCCAAGTCCTGTTGGAACCTGAAATCTCCATCTCCATAGAGCAGGTCAGCAGCAGGAAGCATGAAGTGCTCTAAAACTTGCTGGTAGACGGCTGCGTTGACCCTGGATCTCAGGAAACAGAGTGGACCGACACCAGCAGATGACATGGCACCCCAAACCATCACTGATGGTGGAAACTTTACACTAGACTTCAGGCAACATGGATCCTGTGCCTCTCCTGTCTTCCTCCAGACTCTGGGACCTCGATTTCCAAAGGAAATGCAAAATTTGCTTTCGTCAGAAAACATGACTTTTGACCACTCAGCAGCAGTCCAGCTCTATTTTTCCTTAGCCCAGGTGAGACGCTTTTCGCGCTGTTTCTTGGTCAACAGTGGCTTGACACGAGATATGCGGCAGTTGAAACCCATGTCTTTCAAGCGTCTCTTGGTGGTGGATCTTGAAGCACAGACTCCAGCAGCTGTCCACTCCTTGAATCTCCCCCACATTTTTGAATGGGTTTTTTTCCCAATCTTGACTAGGGCGCGGTGATCCCTATCGCTTGTACACTTTTTCTGACCAGTTTTTCCTTCCCTTTGCCTCTCTATTAATGTGTTTGGACACAGAGCTCTGAGAACAGCCAGCCTCTTCAGCAATAACCTTTTGTGTCTTTCCCTCCTTGTGCAATGTGTCGATGGTCGCCTTTTGGACAGCTGTCAAATCTGAAGTCTTCCCCATGTTTGTGTAGGCTTCAGAACTGGACTGAGACCATTTAAAGCCCTTTGCAGTTGTTTTGAGTTAATCAGCTGATTAGTTTGTGGCACCAGGTGTCTTCAAAATTTAACCCTTACACAATATTCTAATTTTGTGACACACAGAATTTTGTATTTTCATTTGTTGCCACTTCAAATCATCAAAATTAAATGAAATAAACATTTGAATGCATCAGTCTGTGTGCAATGAATAAATATAATGTACAAGTTACACCTTTTGAATGCAATTACTGAAATAAATCAAGTTTTTCAAAATATTCAAATTTACTGGCTTTTACCTGTATTTTAAATAACCTATTTTTTCATTCATTTTTTTTTCTTGCCTTTTTTCGGCAAATAATTCATTAATAGTAGCTATAGTACCTCTAAGTAGATAATATTGTGATGTTATTGCTTATTAAACTACATTTTTCATAAAGCCACATAGTGGATCATCTGCCAATAAGTGGCACTGCCACTTTCTGCCACTAGGTGTCCTTGGCCAATTCTAACTAAAATACTGTTTTAAAACCTTGATGTTATTGCTTATTAACATGTGTGAAACCTTTAATCAAGCAAAGGCCTAGATAGTGCTTTCTCTGTATTCAACGCTGTAAGGAAAGAGGCCATGAGGGTGTCAGAGGACACTGGGAGAAGACAAATTCTTTAGGTATACTGTCAGTATCATCCTCCTTAACTCTAAGATACAGAGAGGCTACAGCAATGAAGACATATGGTTACTTGTAAATTTCTTTATTTACAGAGTTTCTTCAAATCTGGCAAAAACACAGATTTTTTTTTCATCCAGAATGTACACACAGAACTTTTCACAGTCCTCTTTCTTTTCAAAAACAAAAGTGAAATCCTCCGCTGGAGAATATTCATCGTACACATCATCCCATGTCTTTGACACCAAAACAGTGTCAGTAAACCTGGGAGATGATCGGGCAGCCTACTGGCAGGAAAGCCGGACTGTCACCCTAGTGGCAGCGTATGGTGACAATATGGTGGCAGCGCAGTCGCCGCACCAATTTATAAATGTTTTAAATCAGGTTGGGTCCGGGTTAGCCAGTAGGTGGATCTGGACTGCGGTCTGTTAATCTGTGACCTCTGCATTAAACCGAAGCCAAGAGTAATGAGTAACTTTTGTTTTAAAAATGTAAGGAAAAGAAAGTACCGATACTTGTGTGAAAATGTAATGAGTAGAAGTCAGAAGTAGGAAGAAAAATAAGTAATGGAGTAAAGTATAGATACCCAAAAAGTGTACTTAAGTACAGTAACGAAGTATCTGTACTTCGTTACTTAACACTTCTGTAGAGTCGTCTTATGTTGGTAGGAGTTTCAACTACAGGCTGGTATTGAGTTGAGAGACGTTTTGGGAGCTGAAGACGTTTAGGATTTTACAACTTACAGCTGATCAAATTGTATTTTTGGACAGATTGGGTGTAATTTGTGTGTAATAAGGGAGGTCACCTCATCAGTACCAACATGCAGCAGAGCTTCATGCACGAGTTAAATGCCATTACAATGTTTTACCAGGAAATGGAACATGAACTGCATTTCCATTATAGTTTCTCACAAAATAACATCTGATGATAGCGGGTAGGAAAAAACTAACTAGTGGCCATGCGTCACTCAAGCACAGCCATAATATTTGTTGATGTCGCTGTATATAAATAAATCATGAGACAACAAAGTTGTGGACCAGTGATACAAATGGATTTATAAGAGAGAAAAAAATGGTGCCATTAAGCACTAATGCATGAACTTACAGCATGCCTCCATGTTGTCTAAATCAAACAAATTAACTCATCTAAGTCCATTTTTGGATAATTTTTTTTAGTAATGTATGTGACAAGTAAAACTTTCTGCAATTCAAAGGTTAATGTTACTAAATGTGCCTCATAATTAAAGGTTAAACATGTCAGTTCCCCACACTGTGCAAATGACAAAAAACTGTTTTCAGTACACTTTGGTGATGTACATTAACAGTTCATGAAAACCCATCTCATAAGAAAATAAAATAAGAAAAAATAAGAACTTTTAAGCAATATGGAGAGATTTTTTATTTATTTACAATAGATCTGCAAGTATTTATGACAATATTTAGAGTGTGCAATAATATTTAATAATAATTCCTCATTAGTTCTAGCTTTAATAAAAACAGGTAGAATAGCTTGGTTTCACGTGAGGTCACAGTGCTGCTTTCGCGACGCCGCGAAACTCAGATGGAGGGCAGGAAGTGAAGTAGCTGAGGATCTGCCGTCTGAAATAATGCCTATGTTTTGTGTAGTTTACGGCTGCTCCAATCGTTCGAACCGAGAAAAGGAAAAGAGCTTTTACCAAAGATTGTCGTTCATAAAGGTGAAAAGTGTAAAAACCTCACAGAACACCGTAAAAATGGAGTATAAACCTACGTCTGCGGTCTGGAGGAGCAGAGTCTGCCAATGCCCGTGTCTGCAGCAACCACTTCGTCGGAGGTAAGCTATAACGTTATGTTAGCTAGCTAACTTTTTTTTTGCGGTTGTGTTTATATAGCATAAGGTTGTCGTTAAATGCTCATTTACTTAGTAATGATTAATAAGTTACCGGTAGTCTAATATGGACTTCATTGTGACTGTTTAGGCTGTCCTAGCGCTTTGGGTGACGTTGAGTCGGTAGACTGGGCTCTGACGGTCAACCTCGGTTACCAAAAAACTAAGCCCAAATCAGAAGCATCTCTTCAACGAGAGAAGAGGATGAAGCTCAAAGAAGATCAACAAAGCCGGTCGGAATGTGCAGAGGCCATGTTTACCTTGAAACATAAACAGCTGTCAGGCTAGCCGCTACTGCTAACGCTAGCATCTTTTAACACATAAAACAATATAAGAACAAACACTCACCCTGGCAAAGGCTAAACGATGATCGTTGTGGAGACGTTTGGTGCTGAGGTTGTGGACCCACCCGCTAACAAAGAAGTTATATGCCTCCATACTTTTATAGGCCTTCATTTGCTGTTTGGTGTAATACGACGTCTGAAGGACCAGATAGTTCATTATGTCAACAGCCTCCACTGTCGGCAAATCTTTGAGGTCCACCGAAAACTCACTCATCTTCATGAGGTACGGGTCACGTCCAACATATCTGTCAATCAACTCCTTGTATCTATGTCTTGAAACAGGCTCTAACTCCATACAATACGGGCTCTCGAAAACTGTGTCCACCATGTTTACGCTAACTTCATAGACTTCCTGCCCTCCATCTGAAATCGCGCCCCCTGGTCGCGTCATAATCATCACGTGACTGAAACCCGCCTATTACTGCTGTTGAAATGTTTTGTTTTTTTTTAATCCACCAAGAAAAAGGCCTTTAACTTGAGTTAAGGGAGTTTCTAGATGGATGTTTTAACATGAGCCAGACATGAAAAATGCCTCTACTTTTTTTTTTTTTAAATACAATTAGTTCCACGTCATGTATGAAAAGCGTCCCTCTCATGAATTGTCATGTGTTTATTCAAATGACTTTTTAGAGTAAAACTTCTGTAACAAATGGTACAGGAGTACGGCTTCTCACCTGTGTGAATTCTGAGGTGTATAGATAGATAAGATTTCTTAATAAATCTTTTACCACAGGTCAGACATGTAAAATTCTTCTCAGCTGTGTGAGTCATCATGTGTCCTTTCAAAACATCTCTTCTTTTGAACAGTTTTCCACAGGTCTTACAAGTAAAGGGTCTTTCATCTGTGTGAGATGTCATGTGCTGGGCCAAACGACTTTTCGCAGAAAAACCTTTATCACAAATTGTACAGGGGAATGGTTTCTCACCTGTGTGGATTCTCATGTGTCTATTAAGATTAGATTTGAGAGCAAAGATTTTTCCACAGGACACACATTCAAAAGACTTTTCAATTGAGTGATTTCTCATGTGTTTAAGCAATACAACTCTACTTTTGAAAATTTTCCCACAGATCTCACAGGGAAAAGCCTTCTCACCTGAGTGAGCTCTCATGTGAGAATTCAAAATAGCTTTTTTGGTATAACCTTTTCCACAAATTGTACAAGGAAATGGCTTTTCTCCTGTGTGAACTCTAATGTGTTTTTTAAGATAAGATTTTTTCATAAACCTTTTTCCACAGGACACACATTGAAAGGGCTTCTCACCTGTGTGAGATCTCATGTGGTCAGTCAAGCTTATTTTTACAGTAAAACTCTTGCCACAAATCGTACAGGAGAACGGTTTCTCACCTGTGTGAAATCTGTTATGTCTATTAAGATTAGATTTCTGAGTGAAGCTTGCCCCACAGCACATACATGTGAAAGGCTTCTCACCTGTGTGAATTCTAATGTGATTTTCCAAATGAATTTTCTTTATAAAGTTTTTTCCACAGGATAGACACGGATACAGCTTCAGACCTGTGGGATTACTCATTTGAACCATTAAATGTTCTATTTTCAGAAACCTTTCTTCACATGGAAAAAGTGGGAAAGGTTCCTCTTCTGAATCTTCAGTCTCCTGTTTCAGAACAAGCTGCTCTTTATCTGCTCTTATAGGGAGATCCATGGTTTCATCTTTTGTCCAGGGATGTTCTGGCTCTAGTTGCTCTTCTTTTATCTGTAAAGGTTCTTGTTCCTTTTGGCCCAAACTGGAATTCCGCTCCTGCTCATACAGGTGCTGGTCAGAAAAATCCTCCTCTTTCCCAGCATAATCCTGCAGGAAGTCTGGAAAGACAAAGGGGAAAGAAAGGACACTTCACTTTTATCATCCGTGTTTAGATTTAACGGCATACAACCACAATAGAACTACATCTCCCAGCATGCAGCACATCTGTGACATCACATCACAGGTAACAAAGGACTGGTCAATGTGTGCCGTCGCCTGACAAGAGTTGAAGCTTCACTTTTGTCAATAAAGCTTTGGAATCTGTCTGAAAGGAGAATCTGCAGATTATTAACCAGTTAAGAAAGAGGTGTCCTTCAACTACTATATAGTTAGATATAGAAAAAAAGCTTATCGATAAAAAAAAAAATGCATATTGATCGATATCGATAATTATTGTGCAGCTCTGCCTGGACTTTTTATGATATTGCTAAATGATTTAATTTTAGTGAAGAACACAAACACAGACTTCCAATTAAATCTTTATTTAACCAACTTTTTTAACCATAACAGAATTGTTTTAAAGAAAAATAACTTAAGAGACCTGAGTTATGTTATTAAATACTGACAAAGAATAAACTAAAGGGACAAAAATAAATATAACAAATACATAAATAGAATACCCTATTTGGGTGGGAATAGTACACCACCAGCTTGTGGTAATTAAAAGATTGTAGGACTAGGCTACCATGTAAACTCCACTCAACAAGAACAAAAATCCAAACAAAAATCAACTCACCCTTTAGCCTAGCATTTCTATGGGGTATTTTTTCTCACCCCTATTCTTCTAGAGGTGCTGCTGGCACCTCGTTATGGTTCAGCTTAGTTTCTGGCCCCTCAGCATTTTTCTTTCAACTGTTAGAACTATGTGGGAAACTGCCCAGAACTGAATATATATATATATATATATATATATATATATATATAGATAATTCCCAAAGATTCCTCGGAGGAGAGCCGCGCCGGGGCCTACACAGCTCGTACTCCTGCGGGTGTGAGCGGCTGAGATGATAAAAAAAAAAAAAGTTGGTTGTGTTATTAGACTTCATTTTCACTGGTTCCCGACACATTTTACAGATGACTGTGGTTTGTTTTTTGTCCGACTTGCCATGACTGAAATACTGCCAAACTGGCGAACTACAAAAACCCTTCTTTGGAACAATTTCCTCCGCCTCTCCTTGCTGCGGCATCTTCATGTGCTCTGTGTTGTGGTTTGAGAGGGCGGCGCTTTGGGAGAAAGTAGTGACTAGCATAAACCTACATGATAGGCTACAATGAGAAGGAAGGAAAACTGCGTTTCTTTATCAAACTTTTATCGACACACTTTTTTTCTATTGCGCCACACGTCTATCGATCGATATATATCGTTATTGAATTATCGCCCAGCCCTACGAGGTATACTCACAAAAGTTATGAAAATATTTTACGAAGGTTGAAAAGTTACTTAGTGTTGGTTTAATTAAATACACTGCTCATAAAAATACAGGGAACCCTGAAATAACACATGCTAGACCTGAATGAACTAAATGTTCTTATGGAAGATGGAAAATGTATTAACAAACAGAGGTCTGGATTTGGAGTCACACACATAAAGTGGAAAAACACACCTCAAGCATATCTAACTTTGATGTAATGTCCTGATGTAATGTCCTTAAAACAGGTCAAAATAAGGCTCAGTATTGTGTTTGGCCTCCACGTGCCGTGAGACCACCCTACAATGCCTGGGCATGCCTCCTGATGAGTTTGAAGGCAGGGAATAAAGCATGTGGCAACTCCTGGACAGTCTGTGCACCGCAAAAACAATCCAGAAATAAGTAAAAAATGGCTTAAATTAAGTATATTTAGCCTTAATTTGAGCAGGTAAATAAGATGATTTGCCAATGGAATGAGTATTTTCACTCTTAAAATAAGATAGTTAGATAATATTTACTTGAAATAAGACGATAAAATAGTTTTTTCTTATTTTAGAAGGAAATTGTCTTGTTCCATTGGCAAAGTGTCTTACTTATCTCCTCAAATCAAGGAAAAACACACTTATTTTAAGAAAAAATAACTTATTGAGATTTATATTTTTTGCAGTGTGGTGCAACGTGATGTTGGTGGATGGATCAAAACATGACGTCCTAGATCTGCTCAGACGGAATCAGGTCTAGGGAATGGCCGGGCCAGTCCATAGCTCGAATGCCTTCATCTTGCAGGACCAGCTGACACACTCTAGCAAATATGAGGTCTAGCATTGACCTGCATTAGGAGGAACCCAGGGCCAACCACACCAGCGTATATGCTCACAAAGAAATAGGAGGATCTCATCTCCGTACCCAATGGCAGTCATGCTACCTCTAGCGAGCAAAGGGCTGTGCAGCTCTAAAAAGAAATGCCACCCCACACTATTAATGACCCACTGACAAACCGGTCATGCTGAAAGATGTTGCAGGCAGATTGCTCTCCCCGGTGTCTCTAGACTTTGTCGCATCTGTCACATAAGCTCAGTGTAAACCTGCTTTCATTTGTGAAGCGTGCTAGTGAATTTGCCAATCCTGGTGTTCTCTGACAAATACCACACCTCCTGCATGATGTTGGTCTGGTATGAAGTTGGGCCCTCATACCATCCTCATTGAGCCGGTTTCTAACTGTTTGTGCAGACAAATGCACAGTTGGGACCTGCTGGAGGTCATTTTGCAGGGCACTGATGTTAATACTCCTATTGGGTCCTGCTGTTGGGTTGTTGCCCTACTACAGCTTCTCCACGGCTTCCTATTTAATGTTCGATTTCATAGAAGCTTGATTTAATTAAAGTTATAGTGTTGTTTACATAATCCCTTTATTTTTAGCAGTGTAAATACAAAAGCATGTGGTTCAGATCCTAGTAACAGATAGAATATTCATATCTAAAATGAAGGTGGAAATCAGACATAATTCCTGAAATAACTTGGTTGGAACCGAATGCACGTTGAAGGCTTAGATAAAGATTATAAATTTGCTAACTCTGCAAGTTTAGCTGGATCCAAACAGCCCAAACCCAGTTCTAGTTTTATAGTTTTCTCATATGCAGCCTCACCTACCAGAGGTTAAACAATTCTATTCATAGGGGTGCTAATGATCATATTTTTAATAGAACCAATTGTATTAACAAAGAATCATAAAATCATTACTGCTAAAAGCAGGGGGGAGGAACGTTCAATAGAGCTATGGCTCCATATGAGTTTGGCAACTGTATTAAAAGGAAATATAGCATTATTCTTCATCTAATTCTAATTTTGATTTACCTTTTATTTGGTAACTGATTGAGAACAGGATGCATATTCTCTACTGCTGTAAAGCTAAGCAGATTCCCCGATGTTACATAAACAAAGTTCATATATATGAATATATATATATTTTTTTAAATCCTTTTAACTTTCTTCATAGAAAGGGGCTCTAACCTGCATTAGGCTCTTCAAAGTGTAGCTCTTCCAGATGCTTCACACAGTGTTTAGTGGGAGTGTTGAGACAAAAGCAAGAGGTCTCATGTCCAGCCATATATATATGCAAACACATAAGATATCAGCTCAGGTGAGTATCAAACTGGTCTGTATTGCCCCTTTATACTGTAGAAACCAATAAGGAACTGATCCCATTTCTAAATTCATGGATGCAGCCATTTATTTTTATTTTATTATATTTTGTCAGCCTTTTTCCCCCACCCCAATCACTTTTCTTTGTATTTACATACATATATATATATATATATATATATATATATATATACACATACATACATACACTCACACACACGTATAAAATAAATAAGAGTCATGAACATGTATCTATGTTTTCAGCAAAATATTTACGTCAAATCATAATGTATTATTGTTGTTAATCACACTACGATATCAAAATACACTGAACCACGTTAGAAAAGCTGTATTTATAAGGTTTGGTATTCAGCGAATTTCAATTGATTAAATACGCTGATACTTACAGGTGCTGGTCATAAAATTAGAATATCATGAAAAAGTAGATTGATTTCAGTAATTCCATTTAAAAAGTGAAACTTGTATATTATATTCATACATTACATACAAACTCATATATTTCAGATGTTTATTTTGTTTAATTTTGATGATTACAAATGACAACAAATGAAAATCTCAAATTCATCATATCAGAAAATTAGAATATTACTGAAGACCAATAAAAACAAAGGATTTATAGAAATGTTGGCCAACTGAAAAGTATGAACATGAAAAGTATGAGCATGTACAGCACTCAGTATTTAGTTGGGCCTCCTTTGGCCTGTATTACTGCAGCAATGCGGCGTGGCATGGAGTCGATCAGTCTGTGGCACTGCTCAGGTGTTATGATAGCCCAGGTTGCTCTAATAGTGGCTTTTAGCTCTTCTGAATTGTTGGGTCTGGTGTATTGCATCTTCTTCTTCACAATACCCCATAGATTTTCTATGGGGTTAAGGTCAGGAGAGTTTGCTGGCCAATTAAGAACAGGGATACCATGGTCCTTCAACCAGGTACTGGTAGCTTTGGCACTGTGTGCAGGTGCCAAGTCCTGTTGGAAAATGAAATCTGCATCTCCAAAAAGTTGGTCAGCTGCAGGAAGCATGAAGTGCTCTAAAACTTCCTGGTATGTGGCTGCGTTGACCCTGGACCTCAGAAAACACAATGGACCAACACCAGCAGATGACATGGCACCCCAAACCATAACTGACTGTGGAAACTTTACACTGGACTTCAAGCAACGTGGATGAAGTGCCTCTCTTCTTTTCCTCCAGACTCTGGGACCTTGATTTCCAAAGGAAATGCAAAATGTACTTTCATCAGAGAACATGACTTTGGACCACTCACCAGCAGTCCAGTCCTGTTTCTCTTTAGCCCAGGCAAGACGCTTCTGACGCTGTCTGTGGTTCAAGAGTGGCTTGACACAAGGAATGCGACAGCAGAAACCCATGTCTTTCATACGTCTGTGTGTGGTGGTTCTTGAAGCACTCACTCCAGCTGCAGTCCACTCTTTGTGAATCTCCCCCACATTTTTGAATGGGTTTTGTTTCACAATCCTCTCCAGGGTGCGG